TCACACGTGCGCTGAAGTGAACTAACCCTGGAACAGAAGCTGCTCCGGAGCTTAATTAATCACTTAATTATCTAATTAACTCCAACACTGCTTCAATGCAACACTCTTCCAGTGGTTCCCATATAAACAGTGAGCAGTGTTAATTGTTAATTTAACACTGTGGGACTGACTGAAATCCAAGATTGAATTATAGTCCACAAACAGCATTCTTACACATATTTATTTTATCCAGGTGCGGAGGGCAATGATGACTTCAATATTTAAATGATTTGAATCTGAATCTAACAGATGAGTCTGTATATTGTTTCTGTTTCATCTTTAGCTCAAAGTCTACAGCAGTTTTTGCATACAGAGGGTGTTTTGCATGAGCAGCACAAGCTTCACTGCTCTGCATGTGTTTATATCTCTATGAACTGAACATGACATGATCAAGAGCTCTTCTTCATCAACCAACAAACATGACTTTCAGCATCATCTTTGTCTGGACTCTGGCAATGTTTTTTTAAGGTTTGCAAAATTAGTTATGTTTGTATTTTCCAAAGAGAAATGACTGTGTGAGAATATTTGACTTCTGATGTTCTTCACTTGACAGAATCCATTGGGCAGGTGACAGTGACTCAAACTCCCTCACAGCTGCTCGCTCAAACAGGACAACAAGTCAAAATAAAGTGTACAACTAGCAGTGCTACTCCCTGCTGTTGTGGTGGTACTGCATGTCTTAGCTGGTATCTACAAAAACCTGGAGAAGCTCCTAAACTCCTTACTTATGGAGCGAATCAAGTGCAGTCAGGAACTCCATCTAGATTAAGTGGCAGTGGATCTAAAAGTGATTTCTCTCTGATCATCAGTGGAGTCCAGACTGAAGATACAGGAGATTATTACTGTCTGAGTTTTCACTACCCAAACAGTAAATATGTGTTCACACAGTGATAAAGAATCGTACAAAAACCTCCGTCAGTCAGAGTCACAGTGACTGCACTCATAGCTGTTACTGAATCACTCTGACTGCTGTTTCTCTGTCCAAGAATCTGCAGCTTTCAGTGGATTGTTTATTGATGGACAATGTTAAATGCACTACATTCATCCATGATGAAGCTCCACTGGGAAAAAAAAATCAGAAAGACTCACAAATCAGTATGGCAATATTTCTATAATTAGAAATAACAGCTGTATTACTAATTCAAAAGATAATTTTCTCATCAGCAAAATCATCCTCTCATCAGCACCTGCAGTGTCTCTCAGCTGTATCAGTGCACTGAAGGACACACATCAGAATGAATCATTCACTGTGTCTCATCACAGAGTCAACAGTTGATTCAAACATTCAGAAGGCCAGTATAACTGCTGAGAGTCTCAGTGTGAACTGATGAATATGAACAAACCTCATCTCTCCATTAGTCCAACTCAACTGACTCATTTCAGAGAATAAAGAGTTAAAGAGTCAAACTCATATTTGAGTGATTCTGTTCCTCTCAGAATAGAGCAGCTCCATCAGCAGATGTTCAGCATCCTCACAGCAGCTTGATGATACAGTAAAACTACACCGAGTCAACAAACAGAGAACCAACAGTGATCTTAGGAAATGTTTGAGGTTCATAATTTGACTACACTCTTAAAGTGCTTCATGCTTCACGATGCCATAGAAGAACCTTTTTGTCTAAATGGTTCCATAAAGAACCTTTAACGAACCTTTCT